GATCTGCAAAATTTAGCCAATCAGGTTTTTTAGCTTCAACATCAGCCAAACTTCAGCATCAGCCGTAACAATTATTAATAATTACATTAATATTTGATATTTACATTGATTTTTACATACACATGCTTTATTTTTTTTTCTTCACTCGTGAAACCATTAACTGAATATTAGAGACACTCATTAACAAAAGGAAAAACAATCGAAGCTTGATGTTATAAGTTGTTATAATGAATGTTAAAATGTACAAAAAAATCCAGACCTTCAATGTAATGCGAAGTTCATATATTGGGCTGTTAATATTTTTAAGGTTCATCATATTGGTGCAACAAAGAAACTGCATCAGCTTAAACAATATAAGAATAACTTGAGGACACAAGTTTGTTATATTGAAATCTTTACGAAGTAATTTGTGCTGCCCACCAAGCAACTGAGCACAGTGGCCATTCATACCCCATTTTTACTATTCATACCCCCCTTCTATGTAAATACGTAATTGGTTATTAATGTAATAAAAGAAGTTAATCTTACTTGTGTACCGACCATATATTGTTTTATGTCACAATTATATTATATGTATGCAGTTAAATATTTTTTTTTTACAGGGGTGGGTACGAATAGGAAAAATAGGGGATATGAATAGCAATTTCCAATTTGTATTAATAAAATAAGTATTGCTAAAATTGTCCAAAAAGATATTCTTATATTCAAATATATTTTAACAAAATTAATTTAATCAAATAATAATCTAAAATAAATTTTTTGTATATACTAAATTTAGTAAAATAGCCAAACGGATAACCATTAATTTTTTAATTTTTGGCCTTCGTTTTTGTTATACAAAATCTTGTAATTTGATTGGTTAATCATATGTGCGAGTTACGTAACCAGGGGCAAATTAGCAACACACTAGATAATGGAACTTCTACAAAAATATAGTTAGATCTAAATAATTTTTACATCTGGAATTTCTAGACGTTCTAATAATACACTGATCTCTTTTGTGTTGATCAATTTGCTCGTGTACATGTGATCTGGATGTTTTAATAGCTCAAACTGAATATTCCCACTCTGTGAATCTCGTTGAATATTCCCACTCTGTAAATCTCGTTGAATATTCCCACTCTGTGAATCTCGTTGAATATTTCCACTCTGTGAATCTCGTTGAATATTTCCACTCTGTGAATCTCGTTGAAT